ATGTACTGATTAATACGTCACGATTCGAAAGATCCGAGAAAGTGAAGGTGAGTTCGATTTGTTCTCGACCCTTATCCCTCGCTAAAAGCATTCCGTTTACAACTTTAAGTGAACAGTACGAATTATTACCAGTGCAGATATGTAAATTCGTTGAATATGCCTGAATATTTTTGTTGATGCATTGTAAAATTGAATATTGCATTCATTTTCACATTTTTAATGAAAAATATTACATTAGTGCTTTAGTATCCTTTATACGTGATATGTGATAAACAAAACCGCTAGAAATAATTTAAAAAAGCTTTTGTTTATAAATATCTTGTTGATTTAATGTTGTATTAGGAGTTGATGTTTTTGTTGCTTCATTCATATTAAAGATACAATTTGACGAAAGCATGCTTGTATAGTCAGGTATATGTTGTTTTCCATGTTTAAATTATATGGCCGGCGTCGCTTGCGAATTGTTTTGAGAATGATATTGATGCTGACTAAAAAGAATTTGGGGAAGTGAAGATAATTCACTGGCAGAAACAAGTTCGAGTGCTGCAAAAAAAGGAATGAAGGCAGCCCAAATCTTTATCCCACCTGTCAGATGTCCCGCATTTTTGGCTCGAGTTCCACTCTGTGATATAAGATAATGTATTTAAAAATGATAAAGTAGTTTGATTTTATTCTGTCCATGGTGTGGCAACAGCGTGGTGTTCCTTTTACGAACTGGATAATGCGCCGGCCTTTGTCGATTTTTGCGTTTTTGTATTTTTTTTCTTCAAATAAGTGCAGGGTACCACACCTTTCAATAGGTACGATCGCAAAGGGCAGACTTTACAAAACAGCTGACTGTGACGGAAAGAATGAAAAGGGGCGCTTCGAGCGCCTGCCAAGCATAAGCAATCAGTGTATAATCCCAAAAATCATCTCGGAGGAGCACACCAATATTTTTCTTGTAGCACTTCCACATTTTGACGTAAAAACGGATAATCGTGCATTGTTCACACTTTAATTTCGGTTTGTTGTATTGCGCTTTGGAATTCTGTAATTTTGATGCGATTTTTGTTTGATACAAATGTTCAGTGAATGATTGTGTATTCAGTCATCAGCGTGGTTTTGTCGAGAGCCACGTCAACTACGGGGACTTTATATTTTTTAACATTTGTCGAGGGTCGAATATTAAACTTCGTATTCATTCTCTGTGAGAAGCAAAGAGTAGCTTATGAATGGAGGCACGCGTTAACACCAACCAGTTACTGGCAAGTTGCTCGATGGCTCTGTCTTCCAGGGGTTGCTTACAACATTTTTTGATGGGTTTACTCTCCACTGTGTACCATTACCAATTTTCCATTGGAAGGGATTTTCTTACTGGATGACCGAATCCCAAATCGCCATAATGGTCACTTGCTACCACGGTATTACTGTCTCTTATTCTTTAATGTAATGAATATTGTTCTTTTATCACTACCTTTTTTTTTATGGGAATTGCAAATCTGCTTAATATACATTACTGTTTCAGTTTCGATAATTCGAAAGCCGTTATTTGAAGATCCGGAGTTGTTGCGCGTGCTTGAATCAAGCCTCGAATATTCTGGGAAATGAGTGCAGCACTGTTGACGAGACTGGAAACTGCTGACACATCAGCTGATCGTCTAGTGCTGTTCGACGAACTTTGTGCATCCACCGCCGATTGCCCAGATCGACTTGGATCATTTTTACATTTTATCCAGCCAGCATTCTGTGACCCGTTACGGGGTGTGCGGAGTCTCGCTTTCCAGTGTGCACGCAACTATATCGCCGCCAATCCGGGTGTACGTTTCTTTTTTTTTTTTTTTTTGGTTTTCCCTAAGTGTTCGCCAGCGTTTCGTCCAGTAATGACGTTTATGGTACTGGGGTTAGTGACAGCAAACGTCCTTGGGTTTGTAGGGTGCAAATTTCTGCCATCCAGTCTACGACCCAATGAATTCGGTCCTGGTTCCGTGGGTACAGGTGAAGCCCACAGCAAAAACCCCTCTCTATCTGGATTAGGGCAAAATTATGAAAAAGAAATGTAGTAATAAACGGTTGAGTATGTGCATTTTATGAGCTCATATCACAACAGAGAAGGTATCGATGATAAATTTCCATTTTGACTTGTTTCACGATGAATTCCAGAATTAGGCCCATTAGGCAGATGGCCAACTTTACCATAAGGCAGTCGGGCTAATCTATGTGAAGCTTATGTAGGATTTTGGGAAATGCAAGAACGGTGTCACGAACGTGTTTTTAACTTTCTTTTTTTTTATATTAAACCAAATTTTGAATCTTCTTCAACAAGCT